ATCAACACCAGTTTAGGTTTTATGAGCTCATTGAATCCCATGTCAACACCATTTGGAAGAAGAAATAGCAAAAAAATTGATCATGTAGTAACAAGGGGAAGGAAAAGTAGAAGAAAACAATAATTCGCTCTACAAGGTTCTCAGATCGTATATTGGATGATAAATACGCTCATTTCAGAAATAGAAAATACATATCCTTCCCATATCTTTGAACTACTTCACAACAAAACCAGGACATATCCAAAATTACGTCGTTTCAGTTTATGGAAATGGTGGAGCCAGCGGACTTTCAGCTAATTGTTCTGTTCAAACTGCTCAGTCGAATGCTCTGCATCCAAGATCTTATACCTTTACCACCTCCTGAATGTGTTGCGAATGGCTTTTACCAGGTGGAATGAAAATTAGATCTTCCCAACCCATGTTCTTTTCACTCATCTGCCACGACAATGAAACACAGTGACATGTCGCCTTGGTCACTTGTTTAAGAAAGAAAAAAGACCAAAAACAACAAAGAAACCAAAGGAACTACTGTTACCAAAAGGTCTACTTTGGCCAAAAGAAGTGCACCTGCAAAGCATGTTCTGCATGCTTTAACAATATACACTTGCTTTGGCAGAACCTGAAGTTCCTTTTATAAAAACTGCCAGTTTATCGATTTTATTTATGCTCCAGGTGATTACCTCCATTTTTTTCAGAACATCCTCTAAACTTCCAACCTATCAAATGCAGAAAAGAAGGTTATTATGTACATCAAAGTGTGAAATTTTAGAGGAGAATCATAGATTGTAAGACTAAAATCAGAGATGGGGAAAAAAAAAAATGATCCGTTACCCAACATATAGAACATTTACGGAAGGAAATTCAAGAAGTCAATCACGTTAAATATCTGAATATAGAACAGCAGCAAGAAAATTTCACTATGTTTTGAAGTTGACATTCATATTCATTTTTATTTTTTATTTTTTTCTTTTATGAGTTAATCCTCAAATTATCCTTAAGATTCTTAATGAGCATTTTAGCTGACATATGATCTGGTACTAATTTGTCTTTTGCATAGACCAGCAGATTCCTAGAGAAGAATGGGGTTTCATGCTTTTCATTGCAAAATTTTGCAACCTCAGGACAGGATCTTCAATTTTAAGCATCAACGATGCTTCCATAATCCATTCATACATTTTCGTTCTATCTTAAGTCAATAGGTCAACTTTCAAAAAAGCTAAGGAATTAGCCATCGTTACTCAGTTGCGTGCTCTCCTAACTCTCATGTAAGGTGTGGCAAATACAATTAGAACTAACTTGTTGAAAATGTGGGAAGAAAGAAAAAACTATAGAAGCTTCAACATGGGCCTCACTGCACTTTGTTCAGTCCTCTTTATTCCACAATTATATTCTCGAAGTACTTGCATGAATAAATTAACAACAGAAGCCATAGCAAAGATGGGCGACAGATTAAAATACCATAATGTGCTGAGAAATATCAGATCCTCTTCCCACCCTTGACACCGTTGACAATGCTTTTTCTATATCTTCCTGTATCACAAAGAAGCATAATAAACATGTAACTTCCACAATTTTGAATCACGTATCACTTTAGCATTCATAATGGTGTAAAGAAACACACCTTCTGAAAATACAAGGGGAGGTAGCGCTTGTTTTTCTTCTTTACAACTAGAAGGTCTGACTGCAGACGAAGAAATTCAAATAAATTTTAAAGAAAGCATTGGATGAAATGCTGTAAATCTGAATGCAGAAACTGAGGAAAGCAATCAACTAAAACAAAAACTGACTGCCCTTCTTGGGGTCTGGAAGATATTTGGGGAGGGAAGCTTTGCCTATCAGGCTCCCTGAAAGT